AGGGACGGTTGATATCGTATGGGCTAGACGATGATCATGTTGAAGAGCATGATGGTGTCCAATTTAAACCTCTTAACTCTTATTATGGCACTCTGGGGGTGTTCAATTATGTAGAAGGTCTTTCAACTATCAGGGCCGTCCCTGGGGCAGGGCATTAGGTGCCGCTGCCCAGGGCCCTAACCCAATTACAATTGGTTCAATTTTAGTTATAGGAATTTGATGAATAAATTCTTAATTCCAATTGGTTCAATTTTAGTTATAGGAATGAGATTCTTGTTTACTATTAAACTTTCATGTATTCCATTATAAATTCAATAGTTAATTTATGTCATTGAGGAGTTCGCCTTAATACTTCATTCCATAGCAAATTTGTTTACCACGATCTACTGCATGCAAATTAAATATTAGTCACTATGGATTGCCAATTTTCCATGGAGTACCTGATATAGTTGCATTGAAGATGATGGCCTTAGGTACTCCTTATCATAGTCAAGGGTCCAAGTAGCCCTTATAAACCACCTCAGAGGCGGTCTCTAGGTCAGCAATCTCTTAGGAAAAGAGACCACCTTATCACAAGAGACCATACATACATAGTTAATTAGGTAGTTTCTTTTTAAGCAGCTGGGACATTCAATTTAGAAGAGAGATGATTACATATCTGTCACACCTTTTTTTTAATAAACCTAGTACACAAATATGATTACGTAAAATACTAAAAGCATTTTTATAGAAATCCAAAAATATCTTACAATTGTCAAACAATGTAACAAACTCCACGTATTCGAAGCCTAATTTAAAGTAATGTACTTAGCTAATCTCACATTCTCCAAATCTTCATGTCCATAAAATCAAGGTTTCATTTTTTGAAAAAACCTTTGCTACAGAACATGTTCTTCGTCCCTACCATCATCTTATCCATCCTCGTCAATGACTTGCATACTTACCCTTCAAAACATACTGATGGACTTTGGTGGGCAACGTCGAAAAAAGATATTACTAAAGGAGGACATAAGGTGTGGACTGGTGCATACTCCTTGTAAGATTGAGAATCCAAAGCTTCATATGTAACAAACAAGAAAATTTCAAATCAGAAATAAATGGTGCATTATGTGTAATATCCTAAACTTAGGACAGTTGGTGTTGGTGCTGTGTTCTACACGCGCTTCAGGTTGTGCTATTTTGTTCACCAAAGCGATAGTTGGTGTTGTTATAGGCTTGTAGCAGATTTTTCCTTTTAGAAGTCGGGGCGTTACATTATGCAGGTGAATTAGAGGGATAATCTTAATCAGTTACAAATGAACATATTCAACATCCCTCGACGAGAGTCTCACCAAACAATTGCAAATCAATGTCCATGTCATCCCATCACTTCCCTGAAAGCCCAAGTCACCTCTTCACTCTTTTGCCTTTTGTATGAACTAGATGAGGATGATGAAATTTCCTGGGGCCTCTTATTCTGATCTATCTCAACTCCAAATTCCCGGGCCATGTCCGGATTTGAGATTTCTTTCGAAGCAAACTTGAAATTTGTCTCACTATATCGAACCGAGTCCCCATCATTTGGGGTATTATTTGAGAGACATAAAATAATCCAAAGTTGCAAGTAAATGTTAACGGAGGTAGTATTATTCTCCTTTAAACAAGAACCCAACTACATTCTTTTTACACTTTAAAAACCAAACACCGCTATCATTTTATTATCTTCAACTTTACTCAACAAGACTTCACAAATCTAATTATTCAACTCCCTAAAAATGTGTCCTAATAGAAAAATAAGACTTTTATTTGTGGATGGAGTGAGCAAAAAGTAAATTAATTACTTCTAATAACTTGTTAATACGTGATTATTTGTGCAAATGCTAGCCTTGGTATATTAATCACTTATGAATTTGTGTAAAAGATACTTGTATATCATCCCAAAAAGGCACCACAAACAGAAGCTCAGTATGGAACTGAGAATAAAAATCAAAGCGTATGGTCACAGCAAATTAATAGCAAAGATATAATATAGAGCAGAAAACATGTATCAAAAAGAAATACGACAGTGGCAAAACCGGCAAGGCCCTACAATTTTTTCTAAAAAGATATGGATCTTCATGAGTTGAGTTGATTTTATAATTGATATCATGTTCAATATTGCATACAGTACACCCACTTGTAAGTGAGGAGACTATTAGCTTTTGATGAGCTGATCCATATCTTGTTATGTACCTGAAATGTAACAGCAACATCAGAATTCAGAATTCAGAAATTTGTTTTAAGTTGATTATCACAAACCCCAGATAGGGTCCAGCTTCTACTCAATTAATACTACTACCTCCGTCCTCCGTTAACTATTATTTGCAACAAAGGGATATTATTTGTGAGATATAAAATATTCCTTTGTTGCAAATAATAGTTAACGGAGGTAGTATTAAAGTACAACTCAGATTTTAACTAGTATAAAATATGTTTAATCTAAAAACAAACCAAGGGGCATTAACAAGTGTGCTAGAGCCTAAAATAGCATGCCCTCGAGTTATATTAAAGTGTTTTTATCTTGGACGCCTTGGAATGTAACACTTGACTTCAGCTATACAACAGCCTCAAACAAAAAACTCAAATCTGGACTTGAGCAAGTTCTACACTAAGATTCCCCCTTTTCACTATAACCAACTTTATCTTCATCCTTTTACACATCCAAAGAACAGCTTTGAACAAATGAGGTTGAACTCGACTCATCCTAAAGAGAACTAAAGATAAGTGTCAAAATAATGAACTACTTTTCAGCAAGATTGGCCTCATTCTTAGGACAAAGAGAACGGCAATTTGCAAAATCAAAACCTAAAAAAGCTTCTCATATCCTAGAGCACATGGACCGGTACCATGTCACACTATAAGTTCTACCAACATCTCACAAGGCTCTCACCTATTCTGTAACAACAAGGGTATTGTGAGGAGCCTGTTTAATGTGAGGAGCCTGTTTAATTAGGCCCTTGGCTGACATGAAAGGGGGAAGAAGCAGAGCAAAGATAATGTGTTTGATTTAGCCCTTCATGGCTTAATGTAATAATGCACAAAAAGAAACAGTAGCAAGCATCAATACAAGCCAAAGTGCCCCTCTCTATCGAAGGCTTCAAAGCAAAGATCACTGGACCTTAATCAGCCAATCCACAATAGTGCTGAGGATAACATTGTTAGGATGCTTGCATAAGGCTCTACATTTTGACACTAGTGATTAGGCCCAATTATAGGTCCAAGAGTTGGAAAATGGCTAAATCTACTCCAACATATACCACTAGCATGGTTGGAGGATTGTAGCCAAGTGCCAGGGGAAGGGGGGGTAGGGAAAATTAGGCTGAGATGGAACAAATTCAGAAGGGGGGAGGGGGGGGGGAGTCTGTAGGAAAACAAAGTTCTCTAGATTTTAGAGTGGCTCTATTGCATCTAGAATGCTTGATCTCTCATGCTTGATAATCTGATTCCGGTGACAGGATCCAGTCATCCAGATAAAACACACACACACACACACACACACACAGATACTGACACCAGCTGTGTTCTCATTCCAGAGATGGAGCTTAGGACAATAGGCTGGTGCTCAAGGCAATTAGTTAGAAAGTGGGCACCATCAATTGAAAACCAACAAGCACTACTTTTTGGCATGTAGCATGGGATAATTACTGTCTTTTTTGGGATTTGTCAAAGCCCAAATATTATGGACAACAAGCTTACCTAAAAAGATATTCAAAAATCAAATAGAATTTCTGATTATAGTAAGAAGAATACAAACACCCTTGAAGGCTTTTTACACATCCCTTTATTTTCTGACACTCCTTTAAATCTATTCTGCAAAGGATAGAATGCCACAAGATGCATGGCAAGTGCATGTAAATGGTCCCATACCATTTCCAGATCAAAAGTTTAAAACAATCAAGAATCTCCTGGTGGTACTTGCAAATTTGCAATGTAAGTCCTGAAAAATAGTGGGAGGAGGGAGGACTCTTATAATCCAGGAAAGACCCTAGGTGTTGGCAACAGAAGCAATAGAGTTGGCTTGACCTAACCCAAACTACAGTTACTGACAGAAACCTGAATCACAGTTTAACTAGTTTTTTTTAGGGCCACAACCTGAAACTAAACTTGAGCCTGGTCCATTGACCTGAATTGCCACCCATCGGACAATGAATAAAATTACTAAACTAGGAGTCTAACAATACCTAGAAAGTTCTCAACCATCTCACAAGATTAAATGCATGACAAATCTCCACATGTTACACGTGCTTTCAGGTACAAGAGTTGTTTTAATAACTTATCAATGTTGTTATCTCCCTCCCGCCTCTCCCATCTTTTAATTTCCAATGGCCCATGGTGGTAAAAATTCACCAAGGTTTATTTGGTAAAATCTTTCATTCTTAAAACATACATAGGTTGGTGATTCATAAATAACAGTGTGGTTTATCCTTTCCGACTGGCTTATTTGCACACCTTTAGATATCCTCATATTTAACCACCATCATAAAGTGCATTTTTCAAATTAACCCATCTGCACTTTGTGTCTTGCAATAAATCTTTAAGCCTGCAAGCTATATAATATACTTCCTCTTAAAACCTTTCAATACGGAGACCATTCCCAATTCCCATTAGCAAGAAAGCCATTCTTAAAGCAAAATCTCCCAACCTCGATAAAGGTGTGTTCACAAAGTAGATAAAATTTAAGAAGCAGGCTTGCTATCAATATCAAACTTGTCACAAGTCGTTCAGGTCTCAGATTAATGCAACATATTCCTTAGTGGTGAACTGGTTAGTAACCAAAATCTAATCAAAGTAATCAATAAGTATGCGTAAAAGACAGATCACTAACTTCTAACATCATCAAGCTACCTAAGTCATCGATTCCAATGGACACTCAATCAGATAAAAAAACTTCAAATTTTGAAAAAGGTTAGTAACCAAGGACAAACAAAAAAACTATTTAGCAGTAATCACTCCACCACAAACCCATCCTGTACAGAACTACAGAAAGAAAAAATTCAGAGTAACTCTCTTATTCATAGCTTGTTTACTGTTTTATCATTCAAGAAAAGTACTTCAAAACTATAGACAAGTAGCAAATGGAAAATTGCTCTAGTCCAGCATAAGGAAAATGTCTGGCATGACATAAGGAAAAAAACTGGAAACACCTTTGATTCCCTACAAAGAAAAACCAAAAGAAAACTATCAAGCCATAATTTTAATTTGAAGCCAGAATTTCTAGGAAACCATTGAGATTTTAGAGCATAAATTGGGCAATAATAAAAAAATTTGTGTGAAGGATAAGTATACTAGTAAAATCCTCATATACTGAACTTGAAACTTTGAGCAATTAGAAAGACGTGGTGTAACATTTGAACAATGTTAGTCATTATTCTAGCAATCAGAGTTATTAAATGACAAAAAATAAAATACATGTATAAGTATAACGTCATTAAAAACAAAACAAAACTTTGAGGAAAAATTAAACAAAACCATCCAGAATAGTATCTTCCTTTCAACCTCACCTTCCTCTCCTTTCTCACTCTTAAATGGCATCCATTCACTTCCCTCACAATGAACAACACTCCTCCAATCTTTCTAATTTCTCTCCTCCAACACCAAACATCTCAGCATTCTACTTCAGTGCTGTCAATATCTACAAAGAACACTTGACACCTATGTCATCATCAAGTTCTCATGTAAAATCTTGGCACCAAGCCACCAACTTCACCCATTCATACATCAACTCCTATCACCCTCGTCCATACAATCTGCATCATTACGTCAAACAATGTCCCTCTTCCACCTCACATGAGCATTTTTAACTTTCCTCCTCTCTTCCATCAATCTTACTCCATCTTTACACATATCAAAGACAAGATTTTCCCACACTGAATTTAATTGTGAAGAATTTAAGATTGTACCTTTCTCCTAATACCCCTTCTCCCATAGAGGCCCTAACTAGGCAACTACCACTGAATCTGTGGTGGAAGAGCTGTGGTGTAGTGGAAGATTATTGCCCCCAGAAATTTAGCATAAAATATTTTTACCATAATTTTCTTCAAGTGTGGACTCAAATTGCGTGTCGTAGGCTAAAATAAAGGAGCTCACAGGCTCACAGCTATTAGGTGAGATATGGTAATCAACAGGATATTATTGCGGTGCTGAGATTAGTGACAAATGGGGTAAAAAGGGAGGAAAAGATGTTAGAGGGACAAGGATAAGTCAGGAGGCGAACAGAGAAGGAAAAGACATGAGGAAAAAATTGTGGAGAAATTTTGCATGATGTCAAAGAATGAGGTGGGAAAGGGGCATTGGTTAAGGTGTGAGAAATAGGTTTTATGTGGAGCTGTGGAAGAGGATGTAACTCTTTTACAAACTTCCTGTACTTTAAATGAGTATCTCAGTTGGATTGGGCACAAATATTAAATGTGGCATTCTGAGAGAGATATAGAGAAGGCATCATTGGGGCTAGTGCCCATAAGGCATTTTAGGGAATTAAAGTGTGAAAAGAATTGAGTGATGAAGAAGAGAAGGAGTATTCAAATATGCTAGGAAAAGGTATTGTTAGTTTTATGGGTATATCGTCCAATATGATTAAAAGATAATCGCCTCGCTGCAGACACTGCTATAACTTTCTCCAACCAACTCTAATAATTACATTGAAACACTTACTTATCTTACTCGACATTTTGACATAAATGGTAGATTTACAGGGCAAGGCAAGCCGGCTAACCTCCGAAAAAAAGATTATGTAATGGATCTAGTTAATTATGGTATGCCTCTCAACCCCAAGCTTGAATTAGCTTAATCCTCCAAGACACCTCTTAAAATTTCCATGATGATTGAAGGGAGAAATTTCTAGTAGTTTGATATGATGCAAAAGATTTTCATCTTGTAGAAAACGGGATATAGCTAAGTCACTTTACTTTCTAGAAATATACTTGTGGCTTTTCAATCAAACCCAACTTCAAAACTCTAAAGTAACTAACTTATGTATCTAGGTTTGAGTAAACATTTCCTCTTGAGAAGATAAAAGTATCAATACAGCATGACACACCTAATCCAAAAAATCTAGTATGTTGACTTTCTATAACTCTTCATACAACCCCTCAACACACCTACTTTTCATACTCCAGTTGCCAATTTGGTCATTCGTCCAGTACAATACAAGATCATTAACTTGCAAAGAAGTAAGGCAATAAACATTGACATCACTATGGGATTTGAATTGGACTGGTAAAAGAGAGAAGAATTACGAGCATTATAGGTTTCAGCAAGAAACCCCAACAAAATATTTCACATAAATGTCCATATAATAGGATTATCAATTTTAGGATGATACATATACTCCCTATGCCCCTTATTGATAGATCCTTTTGGCTAAATTTTAGTCCCAAAATGTTCATTCCATTTGCCTTTTCCAACAACCATTAATATTAATTTTTTACCAAAATACTCTCCAATTTGCAACAATATTTGTGCAATCTAACTTTCCCGTGTAAATTTTCTTTTTCCATGTACTTTTATTACTTTCTTTCTCTACTTTTTTGCATACCCAATGTAAATTTATCTTTCCAATGTACTTTTACTACTTTTTATTTATGCTTATTAATTCCCGTGAAAATTGCTCATAAGGGACTATCAATAAGGGACAAAGGGAGTATAAGAAGATTCCACATCCAAGGTGAAGTATACATTGAGGAATGAAACACAATTAAGCATAAAATTGTGAAAATGGACAAAACAGTATTAATACAAGCAATGAGAAGTTCAAAGCATACAGTAGGTAACTATTTAAGGATTAAGGAAAAGTAATGTGTAGAAGTCTGCAGTCTTGCATTGAACTGTGAGACGGATAACTAAGATATGCTTGAAGCAATCAAGAAAAAAACAAAGGCAAATGTCTATAACAGTGAGAAAGTCCACCAATATATAGCCTTCTTTTTCTGTTTTCTGGCAGGAAATCATCAATCTCAAATAATCAGCTATTATTGTTTTTCCTTTAACAACTCTGTTTTGTATTGATTTCGAATTTGATACAATTACTAATAGCCAAGAGTAATCCAAGAAAAAATAAGTAAATAAACATAATAAGTGATAGGGAGCAAGATCAAAAGAAGATAATAACCTAAAGACGCAGCACCTCTGTCCTTTCGATGATCGACGCTTCCAAGCAACATCACCCATCCTCTCCATTATTCCCTATAAATCCCAATCACAACCATTCTCAACAACCAAATTCAGCATAAAGACGAAAGTAAATAAGGAAAGATAACTTAGTTAACTTATTCTCTGGTTTCATTACTGATCTAAACAGAATAGTGTAACATCAATGTTGTTTTAATTAACAAACAAAATACTAGTACATGCAAATTGGATGTCAATTTGATAGCATGGCAATTATCACAAAAATAACGTCCTAGAAATGGACTCACAAATTAACTACTAGCGATCCTGACAAGAACGGCAAAAGGTACCATGGAAGAGCTCGGATACTCGCAATTCAGTAGATAGGCGTCCAGGCAAAGTTGCAGCACAGCTGAAAGGAAGCAATGACTGCGTGCATCCTAGTTCTCCAAAGTTTCTACAAACAAATAAAGTTACAATTCAATTAAGAAACACAAAATTAAACAACATTGATCATTAGATATTACTTGTATAATTCAACCAGCAAATCAAAGATGTTGCATTTAGCCTTCGACTATCAGATGCATTATTAATAAAGCATCTTTATTCAAAGATCACATTTTTAAAAATCCAAATCATTTGCAACAAAGTTCCCAGAAATCATACACATTTACATATGAATCAGACACTCAAAATTGAACCTACATTGATTCTAAGATACAGTAAATAACAACCAAAACCGTAATTATGTTCATCCTCCAACTATCTGCTACATTATCAACCAACTGAATTTATAATAACCCAAGTAAAACAAAAGTCTCTACATTTAAGGAATCAAATCAAACTTCAATTTCAACAAATACCCATAAAGTATAAACCTTTTCAACAAGTTAAATAAACTGAACCAAAAATAGAGTCATAAAGTAAAATGTGAATGAAAATAGAGGTGAAAAAGAAGAGAGGGAAAAGGGAGTTAGGGACACCTGGAAGGAGCGAAGGAGGGGCGGCGAGGGCGGAGGCGAGGGGAGGAGATAGGAGGAGGACGGAGGAGAGATGGTGGTGAACGGAGAGTGGAAGTTCGAGCAGAAGACATGAAAGACCTTGACAATGAACCAAATCTTGCAGCCATTTTTGTTGACAAGCAAAAGGGTTTTTGCAAGGGTTTTGGTGGAGATAGAATGGAGAAATTGGGTATATACGGAGCACCAAGTAGAATCGGAAGATGTTAGTCAAACTCGGGGTTGTAGGATTGATTGACGATATGGTGCATTCGACTGAGGCAAATTTTTATATGTGGCTGGCCACATCCGTTTCATATAACGGACTCCGTTATATTAAACGGGTCCGTTATTTTAAATTAAAAAAAATAAAAGGTGTCTTTCTTTTTTTTCTTTTTTTTTATCAAAAGGTTCTTGTTTCCCAAAGTTTTCTCATTTTCTCTATTTTCATTTTCTCTCTCCTCAAACTACTCTTCTTCCATTTTCTCTCTCCTCAAATTCTTCTCCTCATATTCTCTCTCCTCAAATTGTTCTTTTCGTTGATAATGACTAAAATCAAGATAATCTTCCCCAAGGGAAAGAAAGGATCGATATATACGTTGAACTTTCCTACTTCTGACATAAATCAAACCCTAATTTTAGTAATTTTTCAATTTTCCTGTCATCTATGCACTGCAATTTGAACAAGTATCGTGAGATTGTTTTTGGTGGTGTGAAAGAATTCGTGAGTAGAAATCAAGCAATTTATGAAGAATTACTAGAGAATGAAAAGAAAAAAAAAAAGCAGATGAAATGGAGGCTGCTAAGAAGATGTTGGAGGAGCTTGCTAATGTAAAAGATACAACAATAGTTACTTTTTTCATTATGTAGGGATTACTTTTAAAAATTATAGTGTACTTGTTTTAGGGGTTACTCGTTGGTTTTATATGGAGGGGTTACTTGTTGATTTTACAAGGGTTATTTGTAAAGTTTTAGGGGGTTATTACTTGTTACTCGTAGTTTATTAGGAGTTACTTGTTTGTTTCACAGAATTTGTTGTTAAGTTAGAGGGGTTACTTGTTAATTTTTGTTAAGTTTCAGGTGTTACTTGTTAGTTTCATAGGGGTTACTTGTTATTTTTAAGAGTTAGTTGTTAATTTTTGTTAGAGTTACTTGTTTATTTTAGTGGTTACTTGTTAGTTTAACAGGGGTTACTTGTTAATTTTTGTTAGGGTTACTTGTTTATTTTAGGGGTTACTTGTTAGTTTAACAGGGGTTACTTGTTAATTTTAGGGGTTACTGGTTAATTTTTGTTAGGGTTACTTGTTTATTTTAGGGGTTACTTGTTAGTTTAACAGGGGTTATTTGTTAATTTTTGTTAGGGTTACTTATTTATTTTAGGGGTTACTTGTTAATTTTTTGTTAGGGTTACTTGTTTACTTTAGGGGTTACTTGTTAATTTTTTGATAAAATTACCTTGCAATTTGTTGATTTCCATTTCCAGTTTTATTGCTTTTGGGAAGTGTGTCATTGCTTTTATATGTGAGAGTGAGTGCGTGTATGTGTCAGAGTGCTGCTCCGTTAAATTATGTTAAAGTCATTTAGTTCAAGGCGTCCACTCCGTTATTTTGGCTGACATGGCAGCAGGCCACATGGTGTGGCCTGCTGCACCAAAAAGGCGTCGTTCAAGAGATTGTTATATAAACTCGAGTGTACTGCACGTTTATAGGTATTTTGTACTCATTTTGATAATTTTTTTTTATTTAATCAACCAAAACTAACATTGGGTTAGTTGGGTGAACGATACACCCGAATGTATATAACAACTTCTACATCTTATGTGGTTAATATAGACGACAAAATTAGTAATTTATCTCTTGTAGCTAGTGGTTTGTCACGGGACAAGCGGAAGATAGCCCGTGCAATGCTTGAATTGTCGAGGCTCGATCCACGTCAGCCATCCCTATATGCGAAACAAGCTAGTAAATAAATAGAGTAAATAATACTCAATAATGGCACTAATTGCATCGCAAATACATGAATCAATAAAGGCACACTGGCATAAGGATGTTGCCTCGTATGGGACTTGTTGTGTCAGGGCTGCAGGGCATTAGGGAATTGTCAGCACGTGACAGGTTCTCACTACTCTGGTTAAGATTGAAAATTTTTGTAATTTCTTTCTTATCTAGCTCATCCATAATTTTACTGCGCGTTACATTATATAAGTAATTGCTATTTTGTCAACATGAAACTATCTTTTAAGAAAAATCAGTAAAAAAACCTACCTTTTAAGACTTATATTTGTGATAAGGTACACAACCACTTGTTGGATTTTGGTTGTTGACTCACGTGAGTAGCATGATTTTTCCCATTTTACCCTTTATTAACAAAAAAAAAATTTAATATAAAACATCTCGATTTGCTAGCAGGGAATTGCCTTGATTTTCATGCAAATATTTGCTTCGGTTCTAAATCGCAAAGGTTGCTCGACTATAATTTAGGGGATTGTATTGGTAATTAAGGTTTAAAGTTGAGATCAACATTGACATTTAACGATCTTAAACACCTCACTTGCATGCTTCATTTTTTTATTGCCAATTTTTACATGTGGATGAGCTCACCGTGTGGCCAGCCACAATTTTTATTTATTTTTGTTTTCCCACTTCTCACTCTTCGTTGTATTTCTCTTCTCGTGCTTTTCTCTCTCCTACCTTCCATGAAAATGATGTCTCTCTTCTACCTTCCATGAGAATGATTGGTACAACATACAAACAAATTCATACAAAAAATTTACACAAAGAACAAGTAATTTGAAAACCCTCAAATTGATTTTTCGGGTTTTTGATTTTTCGAGTTTTTACATGCGATTTTTGGCAAAAAATTTCAAGCAATTTTGCAACAAAAGCATAAAAAATGGGGTTGTTGGGTTTCTGGGGTTGATTTGGTGAAGTTGGAGTTTGAGTTGTTCCTCGTCAGTGTCTTCTTCACCGCCATTGGAGTAGCTTGAAGGAGATCTATTAAAGAAGAAGATGAAGAAAATGGGTTACTTATAATATGGGTTAATTGTTGAGGGGTTATTGATAGTATTGATTACTTGAAATTAGGGGAAATTTATAATATGAGTTAATTGTTGAGGGTTATTGATGGTATTGGCTACTTGAAATTAGGGGAAATTTATAATATGAGTTACTTGAATTTAGGGGTTACTTTTGTTAAAAAAGAATTAGGGGTTACTTACAATATGGATGACTTGTTTTTGTTTTTGGATATCAGGGTTACTTGAAGTTAGGGGTTACTTGAAGTTAGGGGTTATTACTTGAAATTAGAGGTTACTTGAAGTTACTTGAAATTAGGGATTATTTGAAATAAGGGGTTACTTATAATATGAATTACTTGAAATTGAAAATTACTTGAAATTAGGGGTTACTTGAGATTAGGCGTAAGGTTCAGACTTCATTATTTTTACTGAGTTGGCAACAGGCCACACGGTCTGCACTAAAGGTGGGCACGGGCCCGGCACGACGCCAGCACGCGCGGCCCACATGTGGGCCGTGGGCCGTGCCGTGAACAAAAAACTCAGTTTTGGCAGGCACGACACACGGCACGACGGGCGGCAAGGTGGCCGGCACGCCGGCACGACCCGCCGGCACGGCACGTGGCACGGCCCAGCACGGCATGAGGCCCATTTATGTCACCATTATACACTGTTGTACAATTTTTGTAATATCGAACTTCGTATTTCGTATAATAAATTAAGTTATTCACCAAATATTGTACGATTTTTAATTATCTTTAATTATTTGTATTATCGATTTATCGTACCGGCTCCCGGCATATAATAAAATAAGTAATTCTTCAATTTTTTGTGTTTTCGGATTATCGCACTCGTAATTTTTTTTTTTTATTATTTGCATTGTTGTTTTTCGCTAAATTATTAAAATTGTTTTTATTTGTTTATATAAACTTAAACATAATTAAATGAATAATTTATATAACCTTAACTAAAATAAATTTGTTCTAATAAAAAATATATTAACATTAACTAATCACATTATTTATATAAAATTAAATTGTACTAAAAAAATATATATCATTTTTTTTACATTTATTATTTTAAAAAATAAATAATAATAAAAAATTAAAGTGACACGGTTTGCCCCGCAGCCCGGCACGGCACGACCCCCACCACGACACGACCAGGCACGGCCCGTGGCGGCACGACACGGCCCGTTGCCCATGTTTAGTCTGCACCAAAAAGGTGCTGTTTTTTATTTGAAAGAACTTGCTTGCTTCTTAAACGAGCCACAAATAATGCTCATAAACTATTTGCCTATTTGGGTCATTTTGGCGTCTCAAAAAAAGGGGAGAAGCGTGGTAACCATATTTATTTTCGCAGCATTTGTCTCGAGGAGTTGGAGTCGCCGACTCACTAGAGCTGAAAACACCTCCGTTTTCAATATCATTCATCCATAATCTTCAAACTACTTTACCCATCACCTTAAATCTAGATTCTTGATCATCATATTCATAATTGCATCTTCTTGTTTATCCATTTCTGGGTTCAGGCAAGTCAATCATATTACTCTCCAATTCTTGTCATATCTTCAGTTCTTATAATTTTTATTTGCATTAAACCCCAAATTTAACGAATTTATTGAAAAAGTAACAGTAAATTGCTTAAATTTAGCTGATTACGCTCTTTTTCTTGTTCCGCAGTTGAAATTGCTTTTACCCCACATTAATTCCGAGGTGGGATAATCTTAATCTCCAGGTAATGTATTAATTTCGCAGTTAATTACTTAATTTTGAAGTTATTTTGCATATATGTGTGTGTTTTTTTTTTTTTTTTTTTTTTTTTTTTTTTTCTGTATAATAATATGAATCACTGAATCAAATATACCCAATTGAGCAATAGTATTTTGAGGGTTTGGGAAGAGAATTCCTGCATTGAACTTTGCATTGTATTATTTCAGTTCTTTGTGGCGAGCTGTGATCCAAATATGATTGAATTCTTGAAAACCTATCAAAAGCTCTTAAAACAAAGCTAAATTCCAGCCATGTAACTCGGATTTGAATCGAACACTGAAATTGATCTGACAAGCCGTTTTTTATGCTGTAAAACTGATGTGTTGGTATTAAAGCGTTGTAGTTTGGTCTTTTGAGTGACATTGGGGATTAATGGAGGCTTAACATTGCTTGACTTTGGAACTAGATGTATTGCAAGGTTTAACTCAAGCTATGTAGAATGTAGTGACTAAGGTAACTGGAGCCTGGAGGGGAAGTACCAAAGTATAATACGAAGTACATTTTAGTTTCATCTCTTTATTGAAGTATAATTTACTTAAGGGGCGTTTGGTATGAAAATTAGAAATGGAGTGGAAAGGAAACAAATAAGAGGGAGGAAAGGAAACAAATAACTCTTACCTTTTCATTTGTTTGGTTTAATCATGGTATGGAATCACTTAAACCTACCTCCTTTTCTTTTT